CTTGAGATTGATCGAACTACTAAGTTGGGTCGATCGAATAACTTCAGATCGATCTTGAAATGTTTTAGATCGATCTGACAGAGAGTGGTTTGGATGCAGGTTCTGCAGGCTCAAAAATATTCTAAGTGTTGAAACTCAAGATTGATCGAACTGTGAAGTTGGATCGATCGAAGGTACTCTGATCGATCTGACAGAGAACAGAAATATACAGAGTTTCTTGAATCGATAGGACAGAGAGGTGGTTTGGATGCAGGTCCAAATTTTTCTAAGTGTTGGCTACAGATGGGAGTTCGATTGATCGAAATCTAGAGTTGGATCGATCGAATTCATGCAGAATGCTCAAAATGACATGAAAGCTCATGCAATCCTCACCAAAGTTCCTTCTAATGCATATGAGAACCAAAAATAAGTATCTAGACTTTGCAAGAAATGAAATGAAAGATAGAAATGAGGAATAGGGTTTTGACACCTTACGAACATTTTTGCTAGTTTTTAATGTCTCTAGCAAGACATTGGGCTCTTTTAGCCCGGATCAAAGATCTTGTTGTTCATCCCTTCCTTATTGGGGTGATAGATATTTTGAGCTCTACCCAACAAATGGTTCTTAGAAGAACTTGTTGGATCAAACTCAAAAAAAGGTTTTGATTCATTGTCAATGCAATCTTTGGGCTTCCATACCTTTTCACAATGAGAATTTGAAACAATGCTATGAGAATGCAGGGTTGAAGATGGTTCCTTTGAGACTTTTGTCTTACTTAAAAGCTCAATTTCTTTACATGGTTGATCAAGACATTTTTCTACAACATTAACCTCTCCTTCATACTTGTCAAATGAGTTAGGGGTTGGATTGAATATATTCAACTTCACTTTCATGTGGCCAAAAGAGATCTTCATTACCTCCGTCCTACAATTGATGTTGGCATTTGAGGTTGCCAAGAAGGGACGGCCAAGGATAACGGGAATTTGGCTCTTGAAATTGGAAACCGGTTCCGTGTCTATGACAACGAAATCAATCGGGAAGAAGAATTTATCAATTTTAATCAAAGCATCCTCAATGACACCCCTAGGCTTTTTGATAGATCGGTCGGCAAGTTGTAAAACTACCGACGTCGGTTTTAATTCACCTAAGCCTACTTTGACATAAACCGAGTAAGGAAGAAGGTTAACACTTACTCCTAAGTCAAGAAGCGCCCGATTAATGATATGATCACCAATGATGCATGATGTAGTGGGTGAACCAGGGTCTTTAAACTTTGGGAGAGTGTTGTGTTACAAAATTGAGCTCACTTGCTCGGTCAAAACCACTTTCCTTGGTGCTTGGCTTTTGTTCTTCCTCTTTTGGGTGCAAAGATCTTTTAAAAACTTGGCATAAGCCGGTATTTGCTTGATTGCATCCAAAAGTGGGAGATTAACTTTCACTTGCCTAAACATTTCCAAAATTTTATTGGTTAACTTTTTGCTTTTCTTTTAAAATGGACCCTTTCAAGGCGTCCGGAAATGGAGCTTTTTCAAATACTTTTTCAGAATTTTCTTTCGAAGCCTCTTCAACACAAGAAGTTTTCGAATCATGTTTCAATTCACTTTTCAACAAAACATTTTCACAATCATTTTTCAAAACTTCTCTTTCAAACACATTTTTCAAAACTTTCTTTAATGAATCATTTTCAAGATCACTTTTCAAATCACATTTTGAAGATTTCTCATTCATAAGATCATGCACATGCAATGAAGGAGGAATATAATGTGAAACGGGACGGATGACAATTTGTGGTTGCACCGATTCACTCTTTTCATTGGACATTTCAACTTGATTGTCCATAACTCTACCACTCTGCAAGGTGGTCACTGTATTGACATATTTTATGGTACACCCTTCCGATGAGGATTGGGTTTCCACAACACATTGTTGCTTGATTGGGGCATTCATAGGCATCTTTCCCTTCTCTCTAGCATTAAGAGTGCTAGCTATTTGCCATACTTGGGTTTCTAACTTTGCAATAGATTGAGAGTGAGAATGAAGCAATTGTGTGTTTGCCTCAAGAGTGCCTAAAGCATTCAAAACTTTTTCTTCAAAGGCTGAACTTCTAACATTACCTTAGGAATATGATTGGTTGGGAAAATGAGAATTAAAAAATTGATTCCCTTGTGATTGATATGGTCTATAACTTTGGGATCCTTGGTTTTGAAGTGGAGGTGGAATGTACTTCCCTTGGACACCGCCTTGGGAAGGGTTTGAGCCATCTCCTCGGTTTTTCAAGAGAAGTTTGGATGATTTCTCCAACTTGGGTTATAATGAGTACCATAAGGATTTCCTCCTTAATTCACAAAAGTTGCATTGACTTGTTCATTAAGTTCACTTTGCACTTATCCATGAGGACAATGAGAAGTAGAATGAAGAACACTAGAACAAGTCATACATGATTCATTGGATGCACGATGAGAATGGTTAGGGTAGGAAGATACTTGGTTCGCTGAGTTTTGGTTGATCAAGAATTGATCAAACCTTTGAGATAGAGATTTCATTTCAGCGGCTATTTCATTTGAATGGTCGACTTGATGTAAGCCAACATTCTTCCTATCTTGTGTATTTCTACTATTCTTTGAGGATAATGTTCTATGTAGTGAATTTTCACTCATGCTCTCATAGAGACGCCACACATCATCATTCTCATGCCTATCAATATAAGAACCACCCATGAAAGCATCAACCATACCCTTGTAATTGTCCGATAAGCTCTCAAAGAAATATTGAACTAATTGCCATTTGGGTATGTCATGATGTGGACACTTCCTAAGCAATTCATTAAAGCGTTCCCATACCTCATGAAACGTTTCCCCATCCCCATATGTAAACTCTCTAATGGACGTTCTCATAACGTTGGTCTTTGAAACCGGATTGTACTTCTTCAAAAATTCTTATTGCATTTCTGCCCAAGAAGTGATTGAAAAAGGCCTAAGATTGTTGAACCAATACTTTGCCTTGTCCTTTAGGGTGAATGGAAAAAGTTTAAGCCTTAAGACTTCTTCCGGTATGTCCGTGTATTTCACGGTAGAACAAACTTTAAGGAACTCATCCAAATGCTTGTAAGGTTCTTCACTAAAAATCCATGAAAGTTAGGAAGCATTTGAATGGTTTGTACTTTGATCTCATAGTGGTGTGCTCTAAATGGTGGCAATTGGATGCATGTAGGTGCATTATACTCATTTGGCACATAATGGTCTCTTAAAGCAAGCAGTGGGTTAGCTACTTGAGGTGCAACATGAACACCTTGATTTTGAATTCCTTAATTAATGATGGAAGGTTATGGAGCATGCATTGGCCTTGGTATTCCAAATGGAACTTGGCCTTGTTGTTATTGAGGTTGGTGAATGTATGGCCTAGGCATGCCTAATGGTACTTGTATGTTATCATGATGCACATTAGGATGAAGAATGCCTTGTTGGTCTATGTGACCAAGGTCCTCAACATGATCATCATTATGGTCATCCATTGATAGATTGGTTCTATTTGAACTTCCTCTTCCCCTAGGATTTCTAACGATGGATTCAAGATGCAAATCTAAAGGGACAAGAGTGCGTCTCAATGAACAACGACCATGCATGCACAATAACAAACAAACAAGCAAAGCAAATGAACAAACACTATGCCTTCACAACAATGCAATCAGACTTCTTCCACAAACACAATTCCCATGTTTGAAACAACAATGATGCAATGACAAGAAAAATAAAATGAAATGCCTCCACGTGGGCTCACGATTTAACTAAGGAGATTGAGTCAAGAAAGTTTCACAAAGGTCCTTTAGCACTTCAACTCCAAATTTATAGCTTAGCTTAGCAATTTTTCAATTTTTAGCTCTTTCATTTGTTTTGCTTAGCTTTCCTTGGATTGGTTCTTTGCTTGGCTTCTCTTCAACTCAATGTACCTTGTCAATCAAGAACAAACATAATGAGTTATCAACAGAAAAATAAAAATAAAGTAAAGACACGATCAAAAGAGTACTAATCCTAATTGAATTCCACAATTTTGACGTTGCCAAATCAAATCAATCAATCCACGGCAACGGCGCCAAAAACTGACCGGTCCGTCGCACTACCGTCAAGCTTGGAAAATGTGCATTAAGGCGAGGGTTAAGAGTTTTACATTTATAAGAGCCTTTACTACCTTCACTATAAATATAGCTAGGGCGAGTAGGGATCGTCCCAAAGGATTGTGGATGATGCTAGGTCGAATTGTGTTGTGGAATCGCGACTAGGGTTCGTAGGTCGAGTGATCAAACGATTGTTGGTGGGTTAAACTAGAGAGCAACTAAATTAAACTAAGTATGAATGCAATAAAGAGTAAGTAAAAGAGAGAGAGAGAGAGGTCTTGGGGTTTAGAGATCACCATCAAGCAATGCATTTCTATACCATTGACAAGTGACTAAATAAGGGTAAGGTGTGTTGCAATATTGGTGTGTGTGTGTAATTAGTTGGTTCAATTAGCAAGGATGACCAATTAAGCAAGTATTATCTAAACATCATGTGAAAGGCACAATATATCAAGCAATAAAACATATATTGTCTAAACAACATGTGAAAGGCGCAATAGATCAAAACAAGTCATTAATCCTTTCATTAAGCTCACAATCCTAATACACCCCAAGTTTAGAGAAATATGCTACTTGCATTCTAAAGCATGGAACATCAAACAACGAGCATGGATTGTCCTCCAATTTAACACTACACTACAACTACACTACATCTACACTACTAGTATGGATTTAGACTAAGGGAGAGGCACAATCCACCAAGAAATAAGTATGAACCATCAAGAAAATCATAAGAGCATTCCATTAAGCACTATGTTTTGACAATCTCTAAATCTATAGCATCAATACACATAGACATGTATCAACAACACAAAATCTAGAGACAAGCACATGAACATCTATTCTAGCATACATAGACATATGGATAGAATGAAACGATCAATTGAAAGCATTAAACCATACAAATCATTGAATAAACAAGATCTATATTTATCAAACTGTCAAAACATGTATTACAACACTAATCCCTCAATAATACACAAGATTCAGATATAGAAAGCATGCTTGGGGCTAACTTTAGTCCCAAGGGGATGTCTAGCCACTCATGGTGATGCTCCTCCAACCCTCAAGGGCAAGCTCTATGGAAGAAATCTGCTTCTTGGAAGATGAAAGGCCTCCAATGGTGTCTCTCGTTTCCTCCTCCTTTTCTTCTACATTAAGAATAGCCTCTAAAGTTGCCTCTACCCAATTGCTAATCTCTCCTCTCCTTTTCTTTTTTTCCTCAAAAAGTGTATCATATTCTATTTATGGGTAGGTCAAGTGACACTCAAAATGAGCTGAGGTCGTGCACACACATTCCCCAATGATTGGATACAAGATAACTTGAATGGGCTGACTTTTTAACTTTTTCGCACTGGAGGAAAGTTCGATCGATCGAACTTGGCTGAAATCTATCGAACTAAGGCTGGATCGATCCAACTGGTTGAGCTTTTTCGGAAAAAACAAATCCTAGATATTTTTGGAGATATTTTGGGGAAAAGGACAAAAGTGGTTGTTAGGTGGTACAGTTGTGGATAAGATCAATCATTTAAATAAAGACAAAGGTGTTCGATCGATCGAAGTATAGTGTTAGATCGATCGAACTTTGGGCTTTCTGATTTGGGTTCAAGGTTTTGATCTATCTTGAAATGCTGAGATCGATCCATGTTGGATCGATCGAACCTTCATCTTGGATCGATCGAAAATCTGAATTTCACCCATTTGCTCCTTTAGCTTCTTTCTTTCTCCACTTTGCTCATTTCTTTGTTCAATCCTAGAATTGTTTCATTTAAGCTCTTATTTGGCTGAGTTAGCGTATTTTCGGGATAAGTGCCTGAAAATGTAAATAACACGAAATTAGTCTAAAACGATAAAGTAAGATAGATAAATGTACTAGTATACCTAAGCTTAACAGTTTAAATACGCACTTTTCAGTGCTCATCATTACCTCCATGGCAGATAAGGGGAAGCGGCTAAACACCTCCTTTTGAGACAGACCTTTGGCCGCTTCAATATCTTTGGGAGTTCACATGTTTCTGTAATATGCCATAGCAGTCGGACCATCCCTGAACATGGTCTCATCCGGCTTTACAGTCGAGCCATCCGTTCGGATAACCCGAGGGGTCCATGGCACCACTGCGGAGGCAGAAGCAGTGGCTGAGGCAGACCCAGAGGGGGCAGGAGGTCTAGTTGGCGGAGGCACGGGCACACTTGGCCCAGAGGGCCGCATCCTTTTTGCCAGAGGGATGTCGTCTGGGCTGGATGCACTGTCAGGTTGAATCCTTTTGCCTCTTTCTTTTTCTTGAGCAGCAACAGTGGTGGAGGCATGAAGGTTGCTGACTGGAGAAGTTGCGTTTGGATTGGTAGACGGAACGCTGGCGACTGGGCTGGCAATAACCACAGTCGGATTGATGGAAGGAGTGGTGTCGGAGATGGTGGCAGAAGAAGATGCTGAGGCTGGAGAGGAGGTTGCCGCAGGAGCAGCATTGGTCCTCGGGGGATCATTTTTCCTACTGAAGGAAGGGATCTTGAGTTGATTCATTGTCCTGCCAAGGGCTGAAAGGGCAAAAAGGTTTTCTGAAGTAAGGAGATCTGAGCATGAAGGAATGTTGTTCAGAACGTACTTCTTCAGGTAATTAACCCCATCCCTACAAACACCGTAACTCAAGTCATTACAAGGAATGCCCAGGGAACGGCACAAGAAAGTGCAAAAGCAAGGAATACAAGTTTCACAGGGACAATCATTTTTATGTGTTTTGAATTTTTTATACGAAGAGACAGAGCACTCGGGATAGGATAATCCTTTGCAGCCGGAGAGGACCAGGCCCCCTAACCCCTATTATTTTTTTCTCCAACCCTTCTCAAAATTGAGTTTGTCCTTACATATGGATCTCTTTTCAATTAGGTAGAAGTGGTAGTATGGTTCATCAAGCCAGATTTTACTAACCTTGTAATAGAGGAGAAGATCTATGATGTCAAGATCCAGACCTCTGTCACGGATCAAGAGCAACCGAACGGATAAAACTCTAAGGAAATTTGGGTTTACCTGCAGAGGGGAAAGCCCTAATCTATTAAAAACATAACTAAAGAAGGGGTACAGAGGGAACCGGTACAGAGGGAACCTAATGATGTTCAGCTGAAGATGGGAAAACAGAACCTCGCCAGGAAGAAGGCCATCCCCAGTTCTAATATTTACGTCTCTAAGACATGCCCTGATTTGTACATCACTAGAAAGTTGAAGTTTCAAAGGAAGAATGTCTAGGTTGATTGACATGATGAAAGTGAATAGAAATTATGGGGAAGTAAAACAAATCCCTAGAAGAAGAAATAGAAGCAAAACTAACCTCAAAGATTGGAAACTGCAAAGAGCACTGCAAGATTGCTGGGAAAGAAGCTTTTGCAAGAGTTCGCCGGAGGAGATTTGATTTGATTCGAAAAGGACAAGCAAGGATTTGACTAACAACGAGGCAAGATAGAGACGGTAAAGAGGATTGAGGGAACATCTTTGAGACTTATAAAGACAAAGTGGGCCCGAAGGCCGAAGCGTCAGGAAAACGAGACGTTTTTGTATCTCAAAGCATCGGTTCAAGGTCCAACCATCCGTTTTCCCATAAGATCTTCTTGAGCCGTCAAGTCATGATTAGCAGTAGTTAATAATTACCCCCTAATTTATTAGGGAGTAATTATGGGGATAGTTGAGGATGCCGAAGATAGAGTGGGCCGGATCTGACCCGCGAGGGGAGCATCAGGTTGAGTAGTAGATCCAAGCCCAAGCCAAAAAGTAATAGAATGGGCCCAACATCTGAGATTTACCAAGCAAAGTCAGGCCCAAAAGGAAGTAGGCCCGAAGCTAATAGCCCAACATAAGAAATTAGTTACAACCCTTGTAATTGCCTATAAATAGAGGTAGAATAGAAGGAAAAAGGGGAGATTATTTTTGGAAATGTAACAAAAACCTGTCAAAATCAATAGGGAGATTTTCTTGCATTTACATTCACATTTCCTTCTTCATTCACATTTCCTTCTTCATTCAATTTTAAATAATTTGTACTGATGTTGCATACACATCAATTAGTTGCAATAAGGTTTCATAATTTGTACTCAAGTTACTTACACATTAATTAGGCTGACAAGTCGAAAAGTTTTTAAAAATCAAAATTCAGAAAAGACTCCTCCTTCACCATTATTATTTACCAAGCAAAAACAACAAAAAATATATATATATATATATTTTTACCACTTCACCTTGTACTTGGTGTCGATCGAACATAGATCGATCTGAATGGAACTCAGATCGATCTATCCTTGCAAAACGACAAATATTTTTGACCACTTCGCTCAATTCTTTCAAATCACCCTTGGTAAAGATCAACACAACATTACCCTAATTTCCAAATCAATAAAATTCAGGACTCCAACCAAAAAGAAAATACAATGCTTCTCAAACAAAAAGTTATTTTCTCGAAAAGCAAACAAACAAATGGAAAATGAAAATATAAGCTCAAAGAAATGAAGAAATAGGGAACTTACAACAAGTAGAGGTGTCATATTGAGAAATGCCTTGTTGCCAGTGTTCTCAGCATGAATCTTGATGGACCTCTTCATCACGGTGTTCTTACCCATCAGAACCACAGAGTCACCACGAAGACCCTGACGCATCTTCTGCAACTGGTTCGACCCAACGTTGTCAGCAGCTGATACCAGGATCTGGTTGAACTCATCTAGAATCTGGCACAGCTTCTGATCGTACGCGATCTTCTTGCCTTTGATGCTTTAGGTGCCATTGATTCAGATGACTAGAGTTTCATATAGAGCTTCTACTGACTAAATTTCGGCTCTGTTTGAATGAGAGAAAACCCGAGTTGCAGGTAGACGGAGAAAATGCTGCTTTGTTGAATTTATAGAAGAGAGTGAAGAGGATCAGACGGTTGTTATCTGATCTTGGGTTTGAAGGACGACTAGTTTTGATATATGGGCTTTCAGTGGTAAATCCATCAGATTGATGGTGTTGGTGGAATATGATTTACCAACCTATGGTAATGGGCTTGTGTTGCAACTACTTGGGCCTTAAAAGTGAAGAATAGTGAAATTAACAAGGCAAAAAGGATAAGACATGAGATTTGTAAAAGTTGAGATGAATGCGTAAATACTTACAATATTGTCCTTTATCAAAACTCAAACTCTCTTTTATATATATATATATATATATATATATATATATATATTTTAACAGTCTTTTCAATACAACTTTATAAAAAGATTATTTCTGTAAGGTAGAAAATGTTAGAAGTTCAATTCTAGACTTTCTTAGAGCTTGAATATTATAAAGAATAAATTTCATCAACTCCCTTGACTTCAAGTGTTTTGTAATAAATCTCTCTCTCTCTTTCTTTTCTTCTTCTTCTTCTTATTTTTTTTTTAATTTTATTTATTTTATTTATTTTTTTTTTGTCAAAAAAACCCCATCAAGTAACCGAGGGGTTTCAGGTTGCACATGATTCTATTCAGAACAAATTTTAAGTTTGTTCGACAATATAATAATATTATAACTCTTCCCAACATCCGTGTTGAGAATATATATATATATATATATATATATATATATATATATATATATACACACGTATATATATATATGTATATATGGTGCATTGCGTACTAAATAAACAATAACTTTTCAACCAAAGGTATCTAACCCTGTAGTATGATCTCACATCATCACAAAAGAGGGGAGGAGTACGAGCCTAGATGTGTGGGCAAAAAGTGAAATGTGGTCACAAACACTATAAATTTATAGAGGTTAAAATGCTTCTAAATTATCTTAAGTTGAATTCACCCAATTATGACAAGTGTAATCTTTAATAGATCAAAGGTTTAAAATGTACCAGGTCAATTCCTTAAGACTCAGTTTGGTAGAGTGGAAATGGGAGGAAAGGGAAGGTGATAGAGGGTGATTAAAAAATTATGTTTGGGTAAAATTGGTGGAAGGAAAGGAAAGGAGAGGGAAGGGTTTGGAGGGCGACAAGGTTTCTACAGGATATTTTTTAACCTTCCAAAAATGGACGGAAATGGAAGAAAATGGAAGGAGAGGTTTGGTGAGTGCTTTCTTATGCCAAATTTGCCTTTGATTGCACACAAAACCCATACGTACAAGTTAGCAGTTGCAGAGAGAGAGGGGGGCAAGCTTGAGAGTTGAGAGAAAAAAGGCTGGCTGAAGCTTGCGAACGGCGAACCCGAATTGGAAGGGCGATGGAAACTGAAGGATCGATATGGTTGAAATTGGGTTTTGATTTTTTGAACAATCTGAAATGATGCCGATATGGGTTTTGTAGTTTTGATTCTTGCAGACAAATATATAAACTAAAAGAAATGGGTTTTGAACTTCTGATTCTTGTATTTGCAGTTGCAGATAGAGAGAGTGAGAGAGAGAAAGGGCAAGTTCGGAGTTAGGACGAGAATAGAGACAAAGGTAGGGAGGCTAAAATGATTTGTCCTAAAAATATTATATATATATTACATACGTTTTGTTATAGGGTTTTTTTTTTTGTTTTTTTTTTTTGGCAAATATTACATACTTAAATTTATAAATTTTTCTTTTAAAAATAAAAGAGTATAATAGTAAATTTACTAAAATACTTCCCTTTCCTTTCTTTTCCCAAACATGATCATTATTCTTTCATTTCTTTTCTTTCATTAACCAACCAAACACGATAAGGGGTTAAAATTATTCTTCCCTTCCCTTTCCCTTTCCCTCATAACTAATATTATCCTCCCCCTTCAAACCCACCGTACCAAACATAGCCTAAAAGAAAAACTATAAAACCACCCGTTTCAAAAAGTATTTTAGAAGACGCATTAGAAACCTCTAATTAATTTATTGCTATAAATTTATAGGGGTTATATTGTAAAATTGTAAATTGATAAAATAAAATTACCCTCTATTATTTCAAGTACACTTTTACCCTTTAAAAAGACTTTTATGCACATCACATGTTATTACCTAAATATTGAAAATTTTTACCTACTTTCTGCATCTCCCTCCCCCTCTCGTTTTACTGTGTTTATTCTGTCGTGCACTCCTCTCCTCTCCCAGGAGGAAAAAAAAAACTCCCCTTCTCTCCCTCTCTTTATTGGTAGGCGGTGATGTCTAATTTAGTGAAGTTTATTTTGTTGAACTTGTGATTTGCTTGCTCAATGTTGTTTTGTACTGCAATGTAATGAAAATATTGCTTTTGTAAGCTTGTTACACCTGTAAATTTAATGCAACATATTCACATATAAAAGACATTCACAGAACCTAAATAATCAATTAGTCATTTAAAAGAGCATTCCAATGACTGTAACTTAAAAACCAACTTAACCAACTGTTTCCCATCCAAATCCAAAAAATGACCCTGCCAACATCAACATACAAGAAGTGTTCAAGCCATCCAGATCAACAAACAGTACATGTTCAACTGCAAAATTTCACAAATATACATATATATATGTGTGTGTGTTCAAAATTTTCAGCTATCCAACAAAAGAGCAATATATTCTCCCAGGCTTATGTCGCATGTAACATCTACTGAATCAATTATTTGCCGATCACCATTGTGACTATGAAGGAACTCAACTGCAGCTTATGCTTTGTGACATAGACATCGGCTGCGAAAAAACAAAAACATTCTGATCCATCTACACTGTTAAATTGTTTTGCAACAGGTGCATGATGTTAAATATTTGGCATCATCTATATGATTCAACTAAGTCAAAATCACTTCTTTAGGTTGGAGAGAGATACGCAAGCAAATATACATTTACATAGGGTGTATGACCTTACATTGAAAATGCTGTTTGAATGAATCTAATAACATCAACACAGAATCTAGGGTTGAACATATACAACATGGAGGCCATTTATATCATTATCATTGTTATATATCAAATTCACGTGAGAATACTCTCATGATAACTCTTGTATAATGAAGAAAGTAACTTGTTTGTCTAATTTTGTCTCAACATGCATAATAATTTCAAAATATATAATTCTCCTGCTATCCAAAGAAAAACAAATAAAATAAGTCCAAAATTAATAAATATCCAGCTTGAAGAATTACTATTTAAGGAATTAGATTTAAATTTTTTTTTTTTTTCAAATTACCTTCCTCCAATTTTATTTGTTTCCTTGTTGCATGTTTCACAATAACAATTCACCTTAAAAAAAGCAAGTCCACAGTCTACCATGAAGACCTCACTTTGAGAAGTAGGGGCTTAGTACCGCTAGGTCACTTATCATAGTCTTGCAATAAAATGTCCTTCTAACCATTAAACTTTCTTGTCCTGTTTTTGGTGTGTCGGAAGAAAAGTGAAGATTCACAAGGAAACACATGCGAGACAAATTCAATTGAGAGAGAGCCTAATTAAAATTTAACATAAAAACTAAGGCTTCGTTTGGAGAGAAAGAAAGGGAAGGGAAACATAAGATATGAGGGAAAAGAAAGAAAAGAAAATAATACTATAATTTATATTTATGTTTGACTAGATAAAAGAGAAAAGAAATAAATAGATAATATGTTTGTTTGGATAATACAGTGGAGATAAAACAATCGAAAGAATAATAATCAAATTACTATCATATCCTTTTGTATCTAATCTAAATCAAATAGTTCTTTTTCAAAGTCTAGCATTCTAAAGATCTGAAACCTTTTTATGTTTATATAGATATCCAATATAACCTTCATTATTTGTACATGAAAATCCAAGTTACTATTAATTTTTTATACATATGTGTGTATTTATAGAGATAAGTTCATTATTTGTTCATGTGTGTGGTGATCCTACAATTAAAGTGTCTAATTATTACAATAGCACTCCAATAGAACGTTTGACTCTACAAAGATTTGCGATACCATGAAATCAATAACATCATCAAATAATAATTGAGAGAATACCCTTTTGTACATAATAATTATTAAAAGAATATATAAGAATATAGTGCCCTAAAATTAAGTATTTAAAAAAAAAAAAAAAAATGTTGTTTGGCAACATAAAACTATTTTTAATTCAATTATCTAAACACCGTACCAATACCCAAAGGCCAATTTACTTTTGTGTATACTATCCTTCCCTTTCTTTTTTTTTTTTCTCCAAATCACTCCATATCCCACAATTCAAACAAAGCCTAATAGATTCAGTACAATACTGAGAGGTAAAAGACAGTTGTTGAAGAAACTAAAGAAGAGATTCAAAGACAAACCTCTCCCAAATCAAAATGCATCAATTAAGTCTGAGTTTGAATGGCAGACAGACCAAGAGAAAGAAAGTGGAAGATTCAGTAGATGGATGAAGGTGATATGGGGGATAAGAGAAACAGATATTGAGAGCAACTCCAATGCCCAGAATTTAGAGATTCTGTGCCTTTTTTAGCTATTGGACTGCTCAGATAGAGTCTCCAAAAAATGGGCCCCATGTTTCGGGTCGCTTTTTTTGGCGACCCAGTTAGCGATCGCAGGCTTTTGATGTACGGGCTTACTCTTTTTTAGATTTTTAACTTTTGTGGCCCAGAATACTATAGCCTAGAATACATTTAAAGGCGTGTTTGGCAGTGAAAAAAAATTCCAAAAATCAGTTTTCGGGCCTTTTTTTTTTTTTTTTTTCCTCAACATAATTGAACTAAAGAGTGTTAAGGCATTATTTGGTTGACACAAATAATGCCTTAGAGATTTTTTTGGGCCAAAAAAAAGTTTTAAAAAATAGAAAAAAAATGTGGGTTTTTTTTTTTTTTTTTTTTTTTTTTTTTTTTTTTTCCCTTAACATAATTGAACTAAAGAGCCGTTAAGACAGTTTTTTTTTTTTTTTTGAATGGTAAAACAAACACACACACTTTTTTGCCCACGCCCAGGCTCGAACCCTTCCCCTCTTCTTTGAAGATGAGGAGGTTATACCATTAGACCAAAGGCCCTTTGGTAAGACACTGTTTTGTTGACACAAACAGTGTCTTAAAGACTTTTTTAGACCAAAAAAGTTTTTAAAAAGTGAA